TTGGAGACATGATCTGTTTTGCGAGACAATCGGAAGTGAACGCCAGGGGGAAGTATGACCGTATGGCCCCAGAACGACGAAGCTTGCCATCATTTGTGGCACCTCCGTTGGAAAACGCTCGAAGAAGTCGTTACCCACAATCAATTTCCGGAATTTTGCCAAATGGGCGCTGGCATCACAGGGAACAGCCGAACTGCGCGCATGGATTCTACTTGCCTGACAGTCTGACAGCTTGGAGTTTGTTGACTACTCTATTAGCAAAGTCTACTAGTTGTTTCCATCAGCATACGCGACCTCTATCAACTACTGGTTTCCCAAAGCGCTGTCACGGAAGCTGGCGTTAAGCGAAAGTCCAGGCGCAAAAATGCGAGATGGCCGGCCGTGTCTATTATGAGGAAATCAGCGAAGCGCTGGTCTCAGAAAAATCGGCCCCTGCCCTGCAGGCTCCTGTATGGGCGAGGCAGGCGCATGCTGTGGGGACTGCTCATGCGGCCCCCGGGCGGGTTACTGTGCTGAGATCACAGGCGGACTTGTCGCGATCATGAATCTGGTGGAGTCTTTGGCGCTTTGCTTTTGTGGCAATGCAGTTCAAACCAGTGCGGCGATCCTGAAACCAACTTACCATAGCAAGCCATGAGTCTTTGCCCAGGGGACTTGCCGGCACAAGGATATGGTAAACTGCAACAAGACCAACCTCTTCTGTAACCCTAGCATCTGTTTGTGTCTCCTGTAACAGGCCGCAAGGGCCCCTCAAAGAAGACATTTGGCCTCCAAACCTCGCACCATGTGATTTGGAAGATCCAGGTCCTTGCCTCCGGAGAAAAACAAATGCCAAAGGAGTCACGATTTCGTTGCGGCCGATGGCCAGGTCGACGGCTGCTGCTGGGATCTGAGCTGCTTTGGGGGATGGATCATACGACCGCGGTTTTCACATGGAGTATCTGACGTTCGGGAAACGGTCAGCTCAAGAGGAAAATGGTCTTCCGCCAGAACCCTGAAGGTCGGAACCCACGTTGCCCTCCCACCAATTGGCATGGAACGGGCCCTGGAACCTTTTAAGGGGACCATTTCCCCGAACGTCTGGAAACCCGTGTTAACTGGTGCCCATGTGAAAAGGGCAGGGTAATTGAACCCACCAGGGGACCGCAGGTGATAGCCCATGTTTCCTTTTACCAGGGCAACCCATTTTGGGGTTAGCCTAGCTTTGCCCACATGCCGCGTAAGCTCGCTGCCCTTGAGAACCCCAGGGCCGCGTTCGTCTTTTCATCTCGAGGCGCCGGGCCTTCAGCGAGAAGCAGCTGGACCAGATCCGCGAGGACTTCCCGGCGCTGCAGCAGGAGGCGCCGAGGGCGCAGAGCCGCGGTCGGTCGCGTGTGCCGTGCTCTCCTCACACGAAGAAAGGGGCGGTTTCGGTCTCACAAAAAGAAAAGAAAAGCGGTTTTAAACATGGCTGTGGGTCAAACCAATGGTACCATTTTGGGGTAGGTGCACCGCCCATTTTAGGCTGTTTTAGTGGGGATTGGGATGTTCACTGGGGGTACGGGATTTTGACCCATGGCCACATCACCTTCTTTGCAACAATGAAAGCTGAGTGTTTGTTGGGGTGATGTGTGTTTTAAGGGAATTTATCGGGAGGCCCTGTCAGACGGCCCTGTCAGACGGGCGTTGTTCTCTTCCTTTTTGGAGGGCCCCTTGTTCGTGAATCGACAAACACCTTCCATTTGCTGAAGTGAAGCGTGTTGTTTTTCCAATCAGCGAGTCTGGACGGACCAACCCTCTCCCTTGCTGGTTTTAAGGTTGGAATCGATTTCCCTGGACATATGTTCTCATCTTTTCAGGGGGCGGAAAGCAAACGGAAGTTTGCGGAGTTTTTTTTTCAGGTACCCCGTTGTGTATGGTCTTTTTGGGGGGAGGAAGCCAGAGGAACACCACCGTTTTGAGGGTGCCCTAGAAGAAGACACCCATTTGGGGTCAGTGTACAAACACGAAGGAAGATCGAGATCCAGATATTTGGTGTCCAAGTCCGCATTTGCCCCCTCAAATTTGGACAAGTTCGGGGCAATTGGGCAGGGTCTCCGGATCATGGTGTGTGTGTGTGTTGCAGCTATTTTCGAGTCCAGCGACTTATTTTGACCCATACTTATTTGGGTGAAATGGTGGTTGTCCTTTTGGTGAAACCCTTCAAACCACCCCTCCCCCCCCCAACAAAAAAACAGGAAATGGGGTTCTGGTTCCCTGAGATAAGACGAGCCCGTTTGGAGGTGAAGCCTGGAGTGCCGCTGGTGTATCTGGACAATGCCGCTACCTCGCAGAAGCCCAGACAGGCGCGGTTTGCTTCGCCGCGGAAACCGCCGTCGGTTTTGCAAGGTTTTGGCAGAAAGCTCCAGGGTACTGCAGTTTTCCAGCCACAAACCAGTTTTTTGCACCCATAAACCAAAAGGTGAACAGTGACTAGATAGGGCTGTGGGTCAAAATTACACCACCAGGGGACTGCGGTTTTAGTCCTTGGTTCCATGCCAGGGTTCCATTTTGAGTACCTCTGTATACATATGGTCCCCTAGCTAGGTGCCCGACCTCTCACCCCTTTTTTGGTTGGGAGGTTCCCCTAGTAAAATAGACAAAAAAAAATGGTACCCTTATTCTACCCTCTCTACTGGAGGACCTAGTCTGTTTTGGGGCCCATGTGAATTTGCCATGTGTTTTCATGACTCCGTTTGGACATTGGAACTCGTCGTTGGGTTCCACGCGATGTGTTGCCATGTTTTTTTGTTGTTGTTGTTTTTTCCGAGGAACTTCTTTCGGAAAACGGACCTTTCCTTTTTATGCGAGTTGGCTGTTTTCTCAACGCCTGTTGGAATGTGGGCCTTTCATCTTGTTCCTTCCGGTGGAGTCATGTGTGCAAGGGCGTGTCCCCAAAGGATCCTTCCCTCTGTTCCTCTTTGCGGGTGCGTTATGGAGAGAGGGCGTGTTTTGTTCCTCATTCCAATTTGGTTTCCCGTGGAAGCCATGCAAAAGCAAAAACGAAGCCTGCGTAACCTCATCTTGAGATGGTTTTCAGCTGGTTCTAGTTTTTGAAAGACGCCGAAGAGCACAAGCACAAATGAAATGTGATTGACAAAAAAACCATTCGGATAGTGTGACAAGGGACCCAAAAGACAAGGAACCCTCAGAGATGCAACCTCTTTGGGCGGCACCGCCAAAACGTTCTTTCCTGAATCAAAACCCACAAATGGGTATGGGTCAAAATGAAACCACCAGGATATGGACCGCAGGTTTTAGTTTGTCTTTCCATTTGCCAAGGCCTGCGCCATTCTGGGGATTCCTTTTTTTGACCCACGGCCATGTGATTGAATCTGTTCATTTCTTCTGCGCGTTTGTATCTGGGTAGGAGGACCTCTTGAAACCCGTGAACCCTTGAAAACCCAAGCGGCTTTCTTGGGCCACTCTTTACGGGGATCGGCGGAGGGATGTTTGTCTTGGAGGTGGGAATCCCACTTCACTTCGGTATCACGAGGCCGGTAAATGAACATTGAACAAAGGAGGTGTTTTTTCCCCCCAAGATCGATGATTTTTCAGGCTTCGCCACGGGGAAATCAGGTGCTTGAGGAGTTGAACCGCTTCTACGCCCAGGACAATAGCACCCGGGCGATGTTTCGCGAAACAGAAAATCCGTCCGAGTGGCTGCCTCTAACGCGGGTTCATTTCCCAAAACCCCAAGAAATTTCCCTAGGTGATGGATTCATGTGGAATTGGAAAAGCACAAGGACCAGTTCTTCTGTGGGTTTCATCGTTTTCCCATTTGGGTTCACCAAAAATGGTTTTGGCCCCCCAGCAAACTTTTTTCTACCAGGGTCGCCGGCCTGGGAGCAAACCAAAGCCTTCAAGAAGTCCAAGTTTCGAGTGTCAAAATCCATCCATTTCATCATTGTTGTTGAAAAACATGTTACACTGTTGCTTGCTGTGGTTTAGTGGGAAATCTCACTTAGTTGCTAAATTTGAATTGTTGCTCCCCTTCCAACGTCAACCAAGATTTAGAGGGATTCGTGCATTTGTCTCGAACCAGTTGACCCACTTCTGGAGAAATGCACCTACAGGAGATTCTGGGAGGCCCACGAGCGTGCTAAAGGTTGATCCGCCATTCCGAACACCCATTTCAGAAACCTTCCACTTTCGTTGGGGTTTTGGCCTGAACAGAAAGATCCTTGAGTTTGTTTTTCTTGAGACTACGACCATACAGAGCACTAGAACCCACACAAATTCCAGTGGCACCCTGTGTTTCCTTTTCTAGGTTCCCCAGTAGTGCCCTTGTACCAACTTTTTTGGGGGAGGGTTCCCCTACCAAAATAGACTACAGAAACAATAGGGTACCTCTCTACCGGAGGACCTAGTATTGTTTTCTTGTTTTCGGAGAGGGTTTTTTTCTGTATCAAAAGCCCAGCGGGCGCCAGTGGTTCCCATCCGAGTCCACCAGCGGCCTGGGTTGTTGGGAAGCATGTTTTCCTGGTTGCTTCTTGTGGTGTGGCTGAAATCCAACCACTGAACTGCTAAAGTTTAACCAACTTCCAGCCAAGCCATGTGCCAACTTCAACTTCAACTTCAAGCCATGTGCCCTTAGTGTTGGGCAGAAGCGAATCTCCGGACCGAGGTAACGTCCACCGCGGGATGCACACGTTGTCCATGCGCTCCACAGAAGCCTTCGAGGGCGCGCGGAAGAAGGTCGCGCAGTTTATCAATGCACCCGACGAGCACGTGCCTTGGATATGGCCCATTTGGAGGGGGGGGGGGTTCTCAAAGTATTGTCCTACAATGGTTGTCCTTTTGGTTTCCCTTTCAAGGGGTCAACACCGTTTTGAGAAACGCACCATTCCTCTATGTTGCAGCGAGCTCACCGATGCTGTGGTAAGACGAGCTTATGGTGATGGTCCTTTTTGGGGTGATGGTCCTTTTTTGGATCCACGTCTTCGTGGAACCCGTTGGGTTCAGACAAACCTATTTGGGGCTCTTCTCAGCGGGAGGTCAGCCATCAAATCAGCCTGGCGAGCTGAAGGTTAGCATGTTGGGTCTCTCCAGCCAATAGATTGTTCTGTTCGACCCAATTTGGAAGCTCAGAAAAGCTCCATCGTTTCCTGCATGTGGGCGATTTGTGTGGTTCGGATTCAGGAACCCTGCGAGTTTTGTTTGTCGCTCGCTCGCTTGCGCTTTTGCGAGGAGATCGTCTTCACCCGGAATGCCACGGAGGCCATCAACCTGGTGGCGCGTACGTGGGGCGCAGCCAACATTCAGCGCCTCAGCGAGAGAGCAAGGGCAGGGGTTCGAGATCCGCGGTAAAAGAAGCAGTACGCCTGATGATCTGATGGCCATTGCTTAGCTTGGTTTTAAAGTTCCTTCTTTACTCGTCCAGTAGGTGCCCTGAAATGAAAACAACAACCCAAATGAAGAATGGAAACATAGAGCCCGCTTTCTGTTTGTCGATCTCACGGATTCGTCTTGGCTGACTACGAGGGGAAACCAGATGTCCTTTTGGAAAAATACATGGCCCTGGTAAATGGAATCAATCCCATCTAATCCAGTGCCTTCTATTTTTAACCACACTAACCTAAAAAGGACACCTATGACATCTACTGTACAAAGAATGCATCGTAGGCCATAGGTGTCCTTTTGGTATAGATGGGGGAGGGCCCTGGTAAATGGATGGCAACCAACATAAACCAGTGGAACCCATGAATTTCTATCCAAACTATGCTAGATGTGTGGTCCGTACATCTCACCTCCGTCTCCCGCAGTCCGAGGTCCGGGGATGAGATCCTTTTGACCGTGATGGACCGAGCGAAAGCCTTGGCTTGCACGCGGGTGGATGGCCGGGGTGTGACACACGTCATCTACAGGGAGCCAGTCGAAGAACCTCCAATGAGTCGGAAAAAGCTCCAGTTGAGCTTGTCAATGTCAGCATCAAACAATGGGCTGAATCAAACAGCTCAGCTTGGGTGTTTGATGAGCAGGGTGTCACTTTTGCCTAACCCTAGAAGAGCTCATGAAGGCATTCCAGGTTTTGTCCCCATAATACAGGACCGCAGCAACCTCATGTATTCTGCAGAGTCAGCGCGCTGTTCTCAACGTCACTGAAGCGGAGACCTAAACCCGAATTCCCCCATTCCTCGGAAAGTGACCCCGGATCCAGTTGCCCCAAAAGCATCCGTACAGACTGAAGACAAAAGCCAAAAAAAAAGGCAACTGCTTACCTGCTGCAGTTTTAGGGGGCCCTAACAAAACTCTTTTATTCATTTCCAATCAAAGGGCCATGTGTTTATCCCCAATTTTCCGCAAATTTCTCACCCATATCCACGTCACACGCGAGGAGCACCACTCCAACCTGGTGCCCTGGCAGCAGCTGGCCCAATCCACCGGCGCCGTGCTGAAGTTCGGGCGCCTCAGCGCGTCCCGCGCCCTGGCCGCGGCCCCAGAGAGAGCACTGGCCGAGCGCAAAAACGGCTCAAGCGGAGCGCGAGGTGGCGCTTTGATGGGTTTCTCCGTTTGTTGTTGTTCTTTCCCTCCTTTTTTTTTTTTTGGGGGGGGGGGGGGGGGGGGGGGGGGAGGTAGTTGTTGTTTTTGTCTTGTGTTGGTGCGTGCGGTTTGGATTGTCCGGAAACGCAAAAAAAGTGAAGCATGGCCATATTCAATCCCAAGAAAATGCTCTTGTGATCAACAAATGGTGAGGAAGATTGTGGAAGAGTTGCCATGGAGCGTCATGTGCGGACCGTTGCTCGCTTGTTCTGTTGGCTAGCCCGTTTTTATATGGAAGTCACTAAATGCCATGAAAAAGCTCTCTGTTTCCATAACCGTGGTGTCCATTCCGCGCTTTTCTCGGATGGTCTGTGAAGGACGTGGACCAGTTCGAGAGCCTCATCACGGAGAGGACCGCATTTGGAGGGCTGCAAATTGTTCACAGGCCAGAACTGTCCAGAACTTTGAGTCAACTTGCATGTACGATAGTCGTATGATAAATCGGTCCTTGCAAGTCGAACTGGGTCCTCTACGATATTGGATATGATCACTGCTCCAATGGGTCCCATTGCTTGAGGTATTGATGCATGGTTGCTTGAGGGGTTTATGCGTGCAGGACCAAGCTGGTGGCCCTGTGCCACGTGTCCAACGTCCTTGGGTGCGTAAACCCCATCGAAGACATTGCGAAGAAGTGCCACAGCGTTGGCGCCAAGCTACTGGTGGACGCTTGTCAGAGTGCCCGGAGGCCCAGTGGTTTTGTTGAGAGGCGTCGTTGATTCATTACCAACGGTCAAATCGTGAGCCCCCTGGTGGTTGGCATTCGGAAGGAAACCAAAAGGAAACCAACCATTTGAGGAGACCGACTCCTATTTTGAGAAGCACCACTCGGCACCAGCGGGCCCGCTTTGGATGAGCACTTCTTAAGTAACAGCTTGGGGTTGGGGGCATAGGTGTTCTTTTTCGCTTGGCTTGCTTGAAAATGGACGGATTCCACTGGATTACACGGGGTTTTATGCCATCCATTTGCCAGAGAAACCCCATCGATGTTCAGCCACATGGACACCTACTGTGGATGGACGAAATCCTGCACCATCTAAGAAACCCTGGAATGATGATGCCCTTGGAGATACCAACAAACAATGATTTCCCATGGCTTCAAAGTGGTGCGAAATGGATTTCGTCCATCCACAGTATGCTCACCTTGGAGCCTTGAGCCCCTTTGCACCTGGTGACAGCGCCTTTGGCTTAGGTGCCACACATGCCGGTGGACGTTCAGAGCCTCGGAGCTGATTGGCTGGTGGCCAGCGGCGTCTTGGCGCGATTTGGCGAGCGACGGATGTGGGGTGTCCCTTTTCGAGCCGGAGTGTCCCACTTCGGTGTGTCCATTTTGCTTTATCTTGTTTTGCTGAAATGAACAGGTTTTTTTTTCTGATGTTCCCTCTGTTGGTTTTTGAAATGGAATCGGAAATATTCGCTACTGGGGAATGAGTTTTATTATTCAACAGGCGGCGAGAAAGCAAAATGGAATTCCCTGTAAAGCCGACCAAATGTTGGAGTTCCGGAACCAGTTTAAAGACGCAAGTGAAGGTCGCTGCTTCGATGGGTGGGGAATGAGAAATCGAATCACCCCGACACAAGCCATCTGCTATGGTTAGGGCACAACAAGTTTGAGCTGTTTTGGGGTCATCCACTCACCAAATGAGTGAACTAGGGGAACCTCCCAACAGGTGGGTTTCCAACTTTAAACCAAGCCAAAAATGGGTACCCTCCGACTTGAGCTACGAGGACAGCAAAAGTAAACCATCTGCTATGGTTTCCTTCTAGGGCATCCCCTTCCGGTTCCTTCCCAACACTCAGCAGGTCGTTCCCTACGCATTGCACCTGCAAGCTTGAACTCACTTCCTGAGTTCATGGTGGTCATTTATTTGGGAAGACCGGATGTCAGTGGCAAACACAAAAAGTTTGGGAGCCTTTGGGCCATCCACTCAAGTGAGTGATCTAGACCGGGACCCCCACAAGTGGCTTCCTTTTGGCTGTCAACTTCGGATTGATCTGGAGGACCGTACCAATCAGGGGTGGTCCCCGTTTTAAATGCGAAATGGTGTCAACATGATGGTTCATTTGGGAGGGGCATGGTGAGCTCACTGAGTTTCCCCATAAAACCAAGGATCATTAATTTGTTTCTTGGGGAAAGAAGCAGTTTTGACCGCTCAGGTAGCACCTCATTAGACTATTTGTGGGGCTTTCTTTCCCTTTCAACCATTCAGAGGATCATTTTGAGGATGTCACTTTGGACCCAGGGTTCAAAACAAATCCTTGATCCCAGAATTGGGAAGGGGGGGGTCCCATTTCCGAAAAACCCAGAGGGCATTGCCCGCAAAAATCAATGGCCCAAAATGGGACTCCTTTTTTTAGTGATCCCAGCAAGAAAGCTAAGATACCGCTGACATTGACATAAGGCAGAAACAGACCGAACCACAATGCCCCATTGTCTGAAGGAGGGCACTGGCTGTTCAGGCCATGAAGAGAAACCTGGTGAAACCTGGTGAGCCTCTCTGGTTTGCTTATTTTACAATGCCCCAGTTTGAATTGAGGCAACACCACCCCCGACAGCATTCAATTCAAGATCCACGAAACAAGTTCATAGGTCGCAGAAAGTCTGCCCACAAGTTGTGTGTGTGTGTGTGCAGCTTTCGTTTCGCAGCTCCCGTGTTTCATGCCACAGCACCTCTGCAGAACCAGTCTTGCAAATTCCAGAGCCTGCCCAAGTTGTCCATGTGGAGGTCAAAAATAGGGCCCTTTTAGAGGGACCCTGCCATGCCAATTGTGAAAAGGCTTCCTGAGGAAAATTATGTTGGAATTATGTTGCCATTAAGCGAACCAGTTCGTCGGTCGATGATTGCTGCCAGGGAAGGGAAGGGAGGACAAGGCAAAGGAGGATGTTGGTGTGTCCCTAAAACAGCCACGGTTTCCTTGTGGCCTCCCTTTCAAACCCACCCAAATTATGGGCTCCGGAACCCTTCCCCCAACAAAATGGCTTCCCTTTCACACCCACCAAATTGTGAAATTGCCAGTTGAAAGACCTCAACACAAATTGGCACAGCCCCCCCACATTTTTTACTTTTGGGGTTCCGGAAAGAGTGCAAAAGACATACCCAACGGTTCGGGGGTTCCGGAACCAATTTTCGGTTCCGGAACCAATTTTCGGCCTGCCCCATGGGGCAGAAGCGTCACTCACGACTTAGGCCACAAGATGTGCGGGCCCACGGGCATCGGCTTTTTGTGGGGCCGTGCAGAGATCCTACGCGGCTCCCCGCCATTCCTGGGGGGCGGGGAGATGATCGACGAGGTGAAGCTGGAAGGCTTCGAGCGACCGTGGTAAGGACCCCAAGTCTTAGGGAGGGGTATTTTTTAGGAAGTGTTTCCTGAAGTATTGTAACCTAGGTCCCCCAGCAGTGCCCTTTTACCCTTTAGTAGGGGGAGGAAGCCCCTACTAAAATAGACTACAGAAAAAAGTTGGCACCCTTATTCTAACCTCTCTACTGGAGGACCTAGGTAACATTTGGAATCGCTTACTCCCCTGGCAATGATTGGAAGACCACGCTTGGTCCACCAAGAAGTCTCCAAGTAAAATTCAGAACTTGGAACCCAGCAAGAGGGCCAAGACCCTAAAGGAGATCCTATGGTTGTTTTTGGGGTTCCTTGAATTTGTGGAGTCATTGAGGAGTAGAAAAGTAAAGGACTGCCCCAGCCATAGGTGCGCACATCCGCCCTGACGATTTTTGGGGTCCACCTGAAAACTGGAGGTCTTGATTGTGACTCATGTCGGCTTGACAAGCACCGTAAAGGTCTTGACATAATGTCCTGTTTAAGGGCGAAACATGGATGACGACATTAGCATACATTAGCCCTGCTTAAGGGCCGAATCATGCAGTATTCATGAGTCATCGGGAAATGAGAACGACCTCTTTCAGCTGAGCGCTCAAACCCTGCCCCAAACAGAAATGGATGCCCCAATCGAATCTGTTGGGTGGTTTTCCAACCCATGGTCATCCCATGTTCATCGTATCTTGTGATCAACCCCCACTTGATCCCGGTCGGCAGGCAGCACCTACAACGACATCCCCCATCGCTTTGAGGCAACCGATTCCGCCGGACACACTGGAGACCTCTCGTTCAGCTTGATCACGTCTGAGAAAAAGAGCCCGGAACAAAATGTTCCTGTCCCTCAGCCATACTCCATGCTTTTAGCTTTGGCCTAGGGAGCTTATTCGGAAATTTCAATCGAATCCAATCCGTGGCATTTCTGCAACGCGCTCGCTTGTGATTGCATTGATCCGGGCATTCGCAGCTTGTGTCGACATGAGGACACCCCAAAAATGGTGAGTGCCCTCAAAAGAGAAGTGCAAACCCATGTCCTCAGATGAACGGTTGCTGGGGAAGACACCTGAGGCTACTCTCACATGTACCATGCGATAACGTATCGTTCGGGGAAAGTATCTCCCTTCACTTTCTCACTGCTTGCCGCGCACCAGAGAATGCTACCAGCCGAGCTCACCATGGTATAGGTGCCTTACTTTTGGATCCCTCAGGAAAAGATTTTTAGTATTTTTCTATTCTGTGTTTGTGACACCCCCGTATTCCCTCTCTGCCACTATGCGACAACAATGTTTCCCTTGTCTCTCGAATTCTGCAGCCGACTCTTTGGAATGCATTTTTTCTCCAAATGTCACAAGAGAATCGTTGGTGTCACCTAAAACTCAGCCGAGACAATCATGGCACCCTGTTTCAGGTAGGAGCCCCACGGGTTTTCCACTTCACATAAGCTGCGGGCCACGGGCATGGCTTCTTAGACACTCCCTGGTTATCTCACTGCTCGGGCTCCATCACTATGAACTTTTGGACCATAGACCCGTGGGCCTGTCTTTTTTCGGAGAACCCCCCTTTTGGAGTGGTTTTAGAAGGAATTTATCACTACTGGACCTATTTTTCCAGGGGTCTTCACCAGATGGAAGCATGGGCTGTGCTTTGACCGAACCTCCGGCTGGGCGCCAGGCGGGCACGCCGGCCTACGCCGAGGCCGTGGCCCTGGGCAAGGCCTGCGACTACCTCAGCGCCTTGGGCATGGCCAACGTGGCGGAGCGCGCCTCGGCCGGCCAGCCGGGTCTTTGTTTTTTCGGGCCAATGGCAAGCGCGGGAATTCTCTGGAAACCTGACTTGCCTCAGGGCTGTGGGGAATGACCACTGTGATACAACAGAAAGGGCTTCCTTTAAAGACTATTTTGTTAATAGAAAGGGGATTCCCTTGTATCACAGAAGTGGCTTGAAACCCCTTGATCCCACAACCCTGTCTTGCCTGGTTTTTAGAGCATACTTGTTGGGAAACAGTTTTACTTATTGTGGTTTAGTGGTTGAAATCCAAGCACCTAACTGCTAACATTTAAATTGTTGCTCCCCTTCCAACGTCAACCAAGTCATGGTTCTGGGATAATGTTAACCCCGGATTTATAAACCCCTGGTTGATTTGGATCGGGGGGTGTCCCCTTTTAGTGGGGATTCAGACCACTTTTGAAATTTGGAGGGAACACCCCCCTAATAATGGGACGGTTTATTAATCCTGGGTCAACATTAGACTGAGGACACATTTTACATTTTACCAGTGACTCAAAGGGAATCACAATAATCAAATATTCATTCTATAGCTGGGCCTAATTCTCTAGTCATGACTGTTGTTGTTGGGAAACAGTTTTTTACATTTCATTTCTGCTTGTTGTAGTTTTTCGTGATTGAAATCCAACCACTGAACGGCTCTTTTTTTGCTCCCCTTCCACCGTCAACCAAGCTTTAGCCTGTGTGATTTCTGCGGTTTCTGCGCGGTTTGTTTCATTTGGTTTGCTTCGGTTTGGTTTGATGCTGTTTGGTTTGTTTGATTCATGCCAGTGGACTCGAAAAAGGGGGACCTGGGGGATTTGTGGTCCATGTTGAAGTTGCCTGGTCTGCGTCTTTTTGATACGCTCGCACCAAGTAACTAAGTGACGCTTACCTCAGGGATCCCAAGACTCTCAGGGCCAGGGGCACTGGACGTGTTTGGAGCTTGCAGAAGCCCGGAAACACATGAGCCTGCAGACGGTTTCAAAGTACACCTGGGCAGAGTGGAAGAGTCCAGAATTGGCACCAAAAACTTCCTTTCTTCCTATTTTTCCCCAAAACAGAAACATGGAGGTTGTCAACATTCCTGGCCCCCGGCCATAACCGTGGGTGACGTTTCCCGCGTGGTTGAAGTATCAGATATATGTTTGGTGGTCTTCCAACCAGTGGTCGTCTAACCCCCGGGTTCAAACCATTGACAATTGAGGCCTTAAGGGGCTTAGTATAACCCCCCATTATTGCCGAAGGAGTTTCATCCAAGTTGGATCCCATGGCCATTTGGTTTCTTCTTTTTTTTCCGCGGGCAAGGAACCCTAGAGTGTATTTCGGACCTGTTGATCAACCCCCACATCAGGGAATGAGGGAATGAGCCCAAGAAGAACCATCCCCGATGTGGCTTCCTTTAAGGGAATCCCAGGACGGTTCATTCCCAACACCGGGGCTCGGTCATTCCCTACCTATCGCACCAGCAAGGCAAGTCCCTAAACCAGTATGTTTTCAGGGGACCCCCTAAAACGGATTTCGGGTTTCCTTTTGGTCTCACTTTACCAACCCAAGGGGTTCATCCCTTGTTCATCGGACCTTTTGATCAACCCCCACATCAGGGAATAAGGGAATGATCCCAAGAAGAACCATCCCCTGTGATCTCCTGCCCTTTTACCCTTTTTTGGTGGGAGGGTTCCCCTACTAGAATGGACTACAGACAAAAGGGTACCCTTATTCTAATCTCTCTACTGGAGGACCTAGCAAGGGAATCCAACCAAAACCGGTTCATTCAACCAACACCCGGAATTTTTGATTCCCTACCCATCGCACCAAGCCAAAAAAAAACACGAGGCGAGCACCAGCTCTCGCGGCACCTGTGGCGCCGCGTGGCACAGCTGCCAGGGGTCACCATCTACGGCCCCTCCCCCGAGGACCAGCCAGCGCTTCGGGCCAATGGGAGGCGTGGAATTGTCGGGAAACCTGACATGGCCATGGCCGTACCACTAAAATAGACTAAAATGGGCGGTGCACCTGCCCCGAAATGGTACCATTGGTTTTGACCACAGCCACCATCTTTCCTGGTTTTTTGGAGGGAAACGTCTGTTTTTGGGGGGGCGTTTGTTTGGTCGATCAAGGGAAATCTCTGCTTTTGTGTGGGTGCATTCCCCTTTGTGTCAAACGGAAAGGCGGGCTTTGTTTAGCCTTTGAACAGAAACGACACCAGAGCCACAATCAAAACCGATTTGGGCAGACAAAGGTTAGTAAGGGAGAATTCCAAGCATAGATTGGCGCGGATGCCCTTTTGGTTCTTGACAGGGTTCTGGGTAGATGATCTGAATACTGGGTTTTGATTATGACTCAACTATTTTGAAGTTCCACTGATTCGAGGCAGACTACGGCCCAGATCAGTCAGTGCCACCAGTTTGTGTGTCCCCCTGCTTCTCCAAGTTTGTGTTAGTTTTCTTCCGAGTCTCCCGATAGGTTGCTTTCGGTTTGGCGCACCCGACCGATCTTCGGCAGGCAAGCCCTCCAAGTGAAAAGAGACGGCACTGCGGCAACTTCAGGGTTTTTAATATTTGACTAAGATAGACTTAAACCTAGGGTGTTTTTGTGTGGGGCAGAAATTAATCACCCTGGGTTTAAGTCTGCGCGGTAATACCCTGACGGCTAGAATTGTATCTCACCCTCGCATTGGTGTAAGATGCTGGTAAACTTCTTCGAATCCATGATTCGACTTCCAGTTGACTTGCTGCGATGCTGTTCAACTTCAGTCTGTGGTATGTCAAAAAAGAAGACGACGCGCAACTTGCTTGAGTTGCGATTCGAGATAGGTTGAGGCTGATGGATTCAGTCCAGGATTTTCACCCCTTTGGTAAAAAGCTATTTGAGAGAGTCATCCTGTTCAAGGCATGATCAGAAGGTCAGCTGACCTGTGCAAAAGGATTGACCCCAAAAGGAGGGTGCTGCAGTTGATTGATGTTTTGTGGTCCTTGGACGCACAGATATTGGAGACATTCTCCAAGAAACAAGCGGGTTGGCACGTTTGTTCATGTGTGCGACTTTACACGTGGATGGGAAAGCATAGTGCTGTCGCCGTCTCTTCCCTACTCTTGTAAGACATTTCAAAGACAACCAGACAACCATACAGGTTTTGAAGAGAACTTCGCGCCTTCGCCCTAGGGCCATGCTGAAGAGCGGCCAGAGTTCCTTTTTGCCGAGGGGCCGCTGAAAACACGTACCGAGGATCGGGCATCCTTGGTGTGCTTCAATGTGGAGGGCCGCTCGGCCGAGTTGGTTGCGACCAATAAAGCTGTGAAGTGGTCCGTTTTGTGTAATACCAAAGTGGGCCTGCAACGAAAACTCCGTGAGTTCCCTGCACCTTCAATTTTTTGGGAAGACCATTTTAGTGGCTTAAATGTTTGATTTGTTTGGCCCAGCCACTCAGCAAATGAGTCTAGGTTCCCAGTAGTGCCCTTTTGCCCGTTTTTGGGGCAGGGTTCCCCTACTGAAATCGACCACTCTCTACTGAAGGACCTACTGCGGATGGACAAAATCCTGCACCACCCAAAAAAAAGCTGTAAATACCAACAACACAATGGTTTCCCATAGTTTCAAAGTGGTGCGAAATTTCGTCCATCCGCAGTAGGCGTCGATATAATCCTTTTCGGGCCTTGCACTGTAGCTGGCTCCGCTGGCTCCAGGAGTGCCAATGACTTCAATGAGACTCGCTCGCAAACGTTTTTCGGTCCGTGGACTCAGGCTGCCACGCAAATGATTTGGCGACCATCGTGGACCAGGACCGCCCCGGAAAGCCGGAAACCTGTACAAATCCTCTTGATTCTCTGAGAACCAAAGCTGCCGTAACCACTTTCTTGGGTTTTTCCACCTTACATGTTACATGGTTGTTGTTGGGAAGCAGTTTTTACATGTTTGCTTATTGTGGTTTAGTGGTTGAATTCCAGCCACTTAACTGCTAAAATTGAAAAATTGTTGCTCTCCTTCCAACGTCAACCAAGTTTTGGTTCTACCCCTGTCAGGTGCCATGGTAGAAAGCTTGGGTATGCCACATATGCAGCGATTTGCACATCCCCCAGGTTTTGGTCTACTCCATTGGGCGCAGCGTGTTTTCGCCACAGGACCGGGGCATCGCCATGCGGTCCGGGCACCACTGCACGCAGCCCTTGCACACTGAGCTGGGCACCTTGGACCGAGAAACCAGCTGTTACCCAATGGCTAGAACCAGCCACCGATGCCGGAAGTGCGAAGCAATGGGAGATGACCTGGGCATCCATTTTTCTGGTTTCGGTTTTGGAAGTCTTGCAACAGGAGCCTCTGGTTGGGTCCATGCTAACTTGCTGCTGGGCTAGGACAGGTACACATTGAGACAGCCGCCAAGGAATCACCGCCAGCGCCCGCTTGTCGGCATACTTTTACAACACCGAGGCCTGGCATGAGGGGCATGTGCCCGCACGTGCACTTTGAGAAACACAAACCCAACAGAAGCACTGCGCAACACTGCGCCTCACACTCGCAGAAGCGCAAGCACGCTGCGCCTCCGCTCGAGCTGGTCAGATGCGTTCGGTGCCGCGATATTTGTTTTGTGGATTTTCCGCAGAGACCAAAGCAAGATTTCATGTCGGGTGTCTCAAGCCTTTGCCCTCAAACAGTTAAAGGTTCCAAAGCCCTTAGGCACAGGCGGGACACCCGCACAAGCAGACACCCGCAAAAACGTACGCACAACCACAACTCATAGCCCAACTGCATCACACACACACACTTTCAAATTACCCGCACACGCATGCCAACTCAAACCTGCAGACACACTCACACACACACACACACATGAGGACATGCACTCAACGCAACGCAACGCAAAGCAACGCAGCGCAACATACCCACACAGACACGGACACAGACACGGACACGGACACAGACACACACAAAGAAAGAATATTCGATTGATCGATCGATAAATCGATCAAACAATCAAACAAACCAACACACACACAAGCTGTTAGATGAGAGAAGCAGAAGCTTGTCAGGATGAGATCGACGCAGCTGCAGACGCTCTGGAGGCAGCTATTCAGCTTATTCGATCTGGAGAAGGCCAGCATTCCGGTCAAAAATGAAAGCGAACCCGGACACCTGGGAAGCTTTTCGGGGGTTTCCTTCGCTCTGTAGTCAAAAGCCGGAGATTCTCACATTCTGACATGGACAGAACCAGCCCTTCGCTTTTGGTGCATTTTTTTTACCGAATACGTGCCTCTAGCAATCTCTCACAGAGAACGGGCTCAAGGCAAGATTATGAGGATGCGCGGGCTTCAAGCGATTCACCCTGGGCCCGTGTGCGCGTGTTGCCTGTGCATGTGCCCTGCCAAAGTCCTTGACCTGCAACTCAGGGACTCATTTTTGGAGGCAGGCTAGGAAATTGCTCGAAGTTGCTTTCGGGTACACGGGCCCAACTGAAGCCAAGAAATTGGCCAACTTACCTCGTGGAATGAGAATGCTTAAGTTGTTGTTTCGTCCCAAAATGTAGGTTTATAAACCAAGTTACCTCGTGGAATGAGAATGCTTAAAGTTGTTTTCGCCCCCATTTTGGGACCGCTCAGCTCGCGCGAGGGGAGCCAACGTTGGACCCCTCCATGGCAGCGCTGCTGGACGTTTGAGGGCGTTTCGTTTTACCGACGCCGCACTCGTCTTGTGGACGGACCTGGTTTCAGGTCATTGTGTTGCAAAGTGTGTGGTCTTCTTCTTGAAATCCAATTCTTTGTTTCAGGTGTTTGAGATATTCGAGAAGTTCAGGTAGCCCTTGATTGGTGGTTTGGATTGGTGGGAACCGGGCATTTGAAGCCTTGGTTCTTGTGGAGGGTAAATGGGAAGCCACTCCTGAACCAGTGGGAAGCTGATTTGTGTGGAGGGTTGTCAAAACTAGTGGCAAGGCAGACACCAAGGGGAAGACTTTTTGACGACCCCCCCATGTCTTGATGTCAAATTTGGAGGAGATCCGATTTTCCCATCCGGGCTCAAAGGCAGCTCCACAGACCCGTCGCAAGCAGAAAGCCACCGCGGCTCGCTCGTTGCGCGCGTTTCTCAGCGAGAAACTTCGTGACAGGTTGCTCCAGACTCTCTGCTGAAGTGGTTGTGCACTTCATACTTTTCAGCCTTTTTTGTTAGCTGCTTCAGAAACTAGGTCCCTTAGTAGTGCCCTTTCTCCCCCTTTTTTGGGGGAGGGTTCCCCTACTAAAATAAAAAAAAACGCGAAAAAGGTTGGTAGCCTTATTCTAAGCTCTCTACTGGAGGACCTAGTTGAAAGCACCCCAAAGCATGCTTGCCCAATCCAGAGGGGCTGACCTCAGAAGGTGGCCATCTCGAAGCTGCACCTGCGTCGGGCTCGAGGAAGCAGCCAGTCCGTGTCTCTCTACTCTCAACTCATCATGGGCAAGGTGCGCGGGGTGAGTTTTCCGCCGGGATGTCCATGAGAGGAATCAAGAAAGAGGATTATGGCTTTACAGGGAGTGACCTTGGCAGACATCACAGGCACTTCAATGGTATGAGCTTGGACTGGAGTGCCTTGTATGGCTGACACAAAAGCTGCGACGGGACCGACCCGCCAGGTGCACGGCAGTTTGGCGCGAGCCGGAAAGGTGAAGAACCAGACGCCCAAGGTGGCCAAGGCTGAGAAGAAGAAGGCGCACCAGATCTCATGAAACAGATCACGCCAAGTTTGATGGCCCAGTGGGGCGTCGAAAACGGTGTTCGTTGCGGCAACTTTTCACCCTGGATGCCAGAAGCTGACGGGACGTGCCAAGAAGCGCTTCGTGTACAACCGCCGTTTCGTCAGCGTGGGCCCGGCACGATTGCGTGGCGTTGGGCCCCTGCCTAAGCATGTTTCAGCCACCTTGGGTGTCCATACTTGTTAAGTTGGTATGCCTTGCAAAGGAGAAGCTGTGAAACAAGGCATGCACACGTCCCACCTGGCCTTGTGGCAACCTGCTTTGGGCTTCCCGAAAAAAAGGAGACCAGCGGCTGCTTGTTGAATATGAACGTTGGATAAATCCAGAGGACCATACCAATCAGAGTAAGACCCGCAAAATGAGGCCATGCCCCACCAAAAAAAAAAACACCCCTGAGTCTGGTGCTCGTTCCGTTTGACAAAAGAATTTCAGAGCCTTGGACATGAGCAGATTCATGGCTACCACGTATTCGGGTGGTTCCCTCCCTAAAATTCCAGTATTTTGAGGCCGCTAGCTCAGCTGAGCCAGGTGGTGAAGACTGGCCCCAAGCGCGGCCCCAACTCCAACGCCGGCAAGTAAGCAGGCTCGGCCCCGCTCCAATAGCTCCAAGATGGTGTTGCTCTTGGTTCCCCTTCAAACCAGGAAAAACAAAACACACTTGTGGGAGTTTCTTGCCCGTTTTCCCCCTGCTTGGTTTGGTATTTATTCAAGGGGAAGCCAGACATGTTAGACCGAGAGGTCCAGCAACACGCCCAAGATAGAGCCGCTAAAACGTCGGGCCTTTTTGGAGGCAAGCCCAGGTCGAAGGCAAACCTGTATTATTGTTTATCGTGTTTCTTTGTTGGGTGGTTTGCAACCTGTGTTTGTTTGTTTTGGGTTGTTTGCCAGACATGTCCGAGTTCTTTGTTCTCGCACCTCGAGGCCAGCCGTAGTGCGCTTCGGACAGACTGCGCCAGAGCAAAATTGGTCTGGGAAGGGGCGGCGGTTGGCAATCCAATGGATGCCATCCGGCACGAGTTGGGATTGACGCCAGCTCGGCGGTTTTTCTTATCACGTTTCATCCATTCAGCTGGGTGTGGCTCAAAATTAAACAGGAGGGGTTACGCAGGTTTTGGTCCATGTGTCCACTTAGCAGGGTTCCATTTTGGTACCGGTTTTTTGAGCCACAGCCAGCTGGTGCGAAATGGATTGTCCACGGTTCTGCAGCCATGGCTGCAATGTGCTGCCCTGTAAACTCACGCTTACTGGGAGTGCTTTGAAACGGTCAAAGCGGTGAAACGCACTCGGGGATCATGCAAGCAAAGGTTGGAACATTCTGCGAAGGACGTGCCGGGGGCATTTCAGGTGTGGCCACAATCCTTGGCTCGAGAGTTGCGCAAACATCAGACTCGCGCATCAATAAGACAAGGACACATGCACAATGGTCGGAATGAGCACCTGTCGACCGGCGTAGCTTATGAGCAACTCATTGGCACACGGCTAAGCCATGAAGTCTGGAGCAACAAAAAGAGACACCGACTCATGGCAGAATTGAGCACGGGGGCGGATCCTTCATGATTTTGAGTCAACCCACGCTGTATCCCAACTTCCCCTTGGCCCTTTGTTGGCCCTCCAATTTGTGTCAGTTCTGTTCATGTTTTGTAGGGGGCTGCATACTGTTTTTGGCGACCATTCCAAGGGCTCAGGTCCAGTTGTGGAACTCAACGGCGCCCAGAAAGCCGACAAACCGGAATCCGATGCTGCGGTCACGGCACCGGCTGGCGCTGCTGGTGGATGGTGCGCTGCCACTCAAGGAGGCATCCGGTCTGAAAGGTCCCTGGCATTTGCTCGCCTCCCCCAGTACTGCCCTTGATACCCTTTAGTAGGTTGGGAGATTCGGTTCCCCTACTAAAATAGACAAAAACGAGAAAGGTTCGTAGCCTTAATCGAACCTCTCTACTGGAGGACCTAGTTGTGGGAGTTTCTTACCCGTTTACCCCATGGTTGGTTTGGTATTTATTCAAGGGGAAGCCAGACATGTTAGACCGAGAGGTTAAGACACGCCCAAGATAGGACCGCTGGGATGTCGTGCCTTTTTGGAGGCAAGCCCAGTCTAAGGCAAACCTGTTTTTGTTTAAGTGTTTTTCTTTGTTGGGTTGTGTGCAACCTGTGTTTGTTTTTTTTTTTTTCTTCTTCTTCTTTTTGGGTTGTTTGCCAGACATGTCCAAGTTCTTTGTTCTCGGGTCCCACCTCGACTCGATCCCATTTGGATGAATGCTCTTTCATCTCTCTCGGATTTCACCCAACCAGGTGTTGTTAGGCTTCGCTCACTCCCTGAGTTCCTGAACAGTAGGCACGTGTTGGGGAACATCGGATTTTAGCGGCAAACAAAAAGTTTAGGTGTCTTTCTCTGGCCAATCCACTCAAGTGAGGTCAAGGAATGGTTTTCCTTGGTGGACGCCAAAGGCAGACTCTCAGAGATCTCGCAAATCGCAGTCTTCGGTGCGTGGCCAACGTCTTTCAGCGACTTCACATTCGATTGCGACCAGCATTGCATGCACAATCAAAGTCTTCCGGCCTTGATATCTGCGGGCTGGAGCCTCGTTTGAGATGACTTTGCATTTCGCACCAGACCTCCTGACAGTTCTAGTTGGGTGATTGTCTCAACGACAGGAACAACTTCCGCGTTACGGACACTAATTGAAGCTGGTTTTGGGCAAAGAATGAATGCATGCGAGACAACATGCGTCGGCATGTGGGGGAATAGAAATCGCTGCGGGCAGACAGCTACCTCGGTCGCGACGCCTGTCTGACGACTCTCGGAATGGATGCGCCAATGGTCTCGGGAACGGTGACGAATCCGAGACCATTGGCGCTGACGCGCTTTGCAACTTGACTTGGGTTTGCGTGCGAGGGGCAGCACTTGGCATGCGCGCCACGTGTGCAGACTGAGGCGCAGATTGCGTGGACAGTCGCAGCAGTTTGGCAACTCCGGCACGGTACGGCGCTTTCGCAAGGTCAAGCGCAGATTTCGTGGAAGCACAAAGCCAGGTGAAGCTTTCGTGGCAGGCGCAAGGCAGGCGCAGCACTTTCGCAAGGTCAAGCACAGTTTTAGTGGTGGGCGGAGTGCCAGAGAGAGAGACCGAGAGACAGAGAGAGAGAGAGAGAGAGAGAGAGAAGAATAAAAAAAAATAGAGGAGATAGAGGAAGAAGAAGAAGTGAAAGAAAAAGAGACTGAGAATCACACAGGGAGAGAAAGAATGGGAGAGAACAAAAAAGAAAGAGCAAGATAACTTTTAGTTCTTATATTTTGGATAACGCCTGCCCAGGCGGCTTTGCCGGCTCCACTGGTGAGGATGCAATAGCCCTGCCCAATTTGTTCTGTTGGGTGGGTTTGAAGGTAAATCAAAGACAAACACCCACCCCTGTTTGGGGACCTTCCCGAATTTTTGACACATACTGTGTCTTGAAAACCGCCGTAGCACAAACCCCCACAACAAGGGCGCCCTCCCAACAAGACCAACTCGTTTGAATTGGTGGTCGTGTCTGTCGCTTCCAGGTGGTCAGCCAGTTCCGCAACAGCAGCAAGGACTTCACAGTCGCCTTAGATGTGTTGGCCGTGGGGCAAAAGGCGCGGAGACGTGGCCCAGGAGACGTGGCTCACTTCCCGGCACCCTTTTTCTTCAAGCTTCTAGGTCCCCCAGTGCCCTTCTCTCCCCTTTTTTCGGGGAGGGTTCCCCTACTAAAATCGACAGAAAAAAGTAGGTACCAACTTATTCTAACCTCACAAATCTGGAGGACCTAGGCTAGGAATTGTGTTAACGGCCCATGACATGTTCAAGTTTCACCGTGGCCGCATGCACGCATTCTGCGCAGCCGTCACACTGAACACTTTGGGGGAAATGCACACAACAGATGAGAAACAGACCTGCCACACTGTTGGGCTGCTCACAAGGTGGCCGAGGGATATCAAAAAACGCGAGGGTATTGTTTGGGATGTTTAGTGGTAAACAAAATGTCGGATTTTTACACCAATCCACCCAGGAAGTGACGGCTGATACCCCAAACCCAGCAGCGATCTTGATCCACACGAGCACAACGCCTACTTGCAAAAGAGCATGTTGGGGGGGTTGGATGGAAACAGACAGTTTTAGGAAAAAGGTACCGATCTCCCTTTTTTTTCGGAACTATGTTCCAACATGACTGCCCAAGAAACATGTTCAGACCTGGTGTCTTTGGAGCGTCCCTTTGCGCGCCAGGGCATAATGCAAGGCCTGCATTTGCTGGCACAAAAGCAGCCCAAAATGCCGGTGGCTGTGCTCGACAAGGCACCCACACTTGCGCTTCAGACAAAACATGGAGCCCCACAAACCGTTTTGGAGGAACCTCATGAAAACGGCACCCCCTTTTCTTTTGAGATTCCATGCTGAGGAGTAGCTTGCCTTTATTTGTTGCCTTTTTGGTTTCCCTTTTCGGACCCTTATTAAGGATGGCCTCAGCTTGAGCCTTCCCTTGCTGCCTTTGCTCGCAGGTGGGTGAGGAAGCCGCTGCGAGCTGAGCCAAAAAGCGAAGCACCCTTGCATGGCTGACACACGCCATTCGGAGGTCACTGAAGAGAGCATTGGACAGCCATTGGGGGGCCTCCCCAAAGCGAATTCTCATGTTCCTGTTTGGTCTTTTCCACTTCCAAGATCCTCAAATTGGTTTTCTTGGATTCAATGAAATTCCATTACTAGGTCCCCCAGTAGGGGCCTTTTACCCTTTTTTGGGGGAGGGTTCCCCTACTGAACTAGACTACAGAAAAAAGTTGCTACCCTTATTCTAACCTTTTTGGAGGACCTAGGTTACAATGAGCAACAAAAACGGGTGCGCGTGGCGAAAATGGAGCCGTGTTGCACAGGTCGTGGCCGTGGCCCCCAAAGGCTTCCGGGTCCGAGGCGTGCGGGTTGCGGGTAAAACGGGGCCAAAGTGGGGGTGCCCTTGATTTTGGCTTGAATCTTTAGGGTTTAACCTTTTCAAAATTCAAAGGGTGTTTTTTTGCTTTTAGTCCCACTAAATATCGAACTTTTTGCAGAGGGGACCACATCAGCCAGCCTGAAGCAACGGTCCTAGGGGAAACCCAAAGGCTGTTTCAACAGTTGAGGATTTCTATGTGTCAATGGTCAAAATGCGAATTTGAAACCCTGCATTTTTTTTGTACTGCGGCGTTGTGTTGCTTTGCTTGATCGCCTGCTTGCTTTGGTTGCTTCCTTGATTAGCGTGCTTCTGTGTTTGCGTCAGTCGTTTTTTTGCTGGTGCAGATGTCAGGTTGCGTTGTTTGTAGTCGGTTGTGCTTGTTTCCTGTTATCGCGGTTGCTTATTTGCTTGCTTGCTTGCTGGCGTGCGGGTTTCAGGGAGTTTTACAGTTCTTGTGTGATGGCTACCGCAACCAGTTTCAACAAAAACTCAAATGGAGTCTTCGGGAGCCGCGGATCAGTTCGTTGATCAACACACGGTGCCTGGCCCACAAGTTATGCCAAGGACACATTCAACGATGCTGCACGGGTGTGCAGATCCGGTTTGCGTGTGTATGATATATCTGCGACCCGTCAAGGTACCGCTGCAACGGTTCCAATCAGTTTCGCAGTAGGCCATTCCACTGACCTTGGCGGTTCCCAGCCTTCCCCATTGCATGTTAGGGTTTTATGGTTTAGTGGGGGGGGGGTCATTGAACCCACTAAAAGTTACTTTGGTGCATTTTGCTCGGATCTTAGGACTTTACCTTTTTGCCAACTAATGGGTTTTCCGTTAAACCCACTAAAAGATTAAACTTTTCGCAGGGGAGCAGAAGGCAACCGAGGTGTTTTGTTTCCCCACATGCATGAAGTTCCCAAGCGCCGTGATGATTCTCCTGGCGCTTCGACGAGGGCCCCGTCCTTTTCGGGAAAATCCGCCGGCCTTTTCGGCTTCAGCCCATGGCGTACTGTCAGCATGGAATCCTGGTAGGCATTTGTTCGGAGCACCATTTAGTTTGTCATAGGACTGGTGTAAACCTAAATGGGTTCGAACATCGCAAATTATTCTCCAGTCCGTTTCTTAGAACCCCTTTAGTCGTACCCCTTAATTAGTGGCTTGGATTAGTTTGGGATTTGAACCCCTGGTTCTAACTCCTCGTTCGCCACCAATCCAAACCACCAATTGCCGGGAACTGGGTCCTGCAGAAAAAACAAAGTCGGTGAAGTCTCTTCGCGTAGGTCACCACAACTACTGGCTGAGCTTTTTCACGGAGGAGGAGTTTCTGGAGCCTTCTGCCATATCTCGCTGGGAGAGCCGGGGGACTCGAACTCGGAATGGAGATCTCATGGTGGTCGGTGGGAAGCAGTTTTTTTTAACGTATTGTTGCTTCTTGTGGCTTAGTGGTCGAAATCCAAATCCACTTAACTGCTAAAATTGAAAAAAATACTCCCCTTCCAACGTCAACCAAGATCCAGCCAATCTTCTGTGGTACCAAGGGCTCCAAGTGACAAAGTCCTAAGGATGACCCACCTTGTCATTCATTTCCCATGAAAGGTGGCGAGAGGCTTGGGCAAAGTAATTTTTGTTACCACCGAGCCATTTCGCCAGAAAACCCCCAAGGAGTTACCAGAAGGTTTAATGGCCGTAGTTTTTCTGGGATGCCGGGAGTGGAGTCCTGTCAGTGTCAAGAGAGTGACAAGCGCAGCTCCTTTCAGCACCTGGCAGCCAGAAGTCAATGCACACATTGCCCAGGTGGGCGAAATCCATGTCGAACCGTTCAGAAACCCAACGGTTTCAGATTCGATTCCCACTGTAAATACCAAGAAACACTGGTTTCCCATAGTGCCAACCGAATCAATTCCATCCGCAGTATCCGACAACCTTGACTTGGTTTGGATTGGACAAGTGGTCGCAAGCAGGTCTGCCTCTTTTGTTTACTTTTTTTTTGGGGGGGGGGGGGGAGTGAAACGAGCTTACCCATGATAAACCTGAAGTCACATGTTCCTTGTTGCCAGTGCATGCGCTATGATGTACTTTGCCCAGATGTGTGCTGACCTCCCAAAGTGGCAGTTCCGCGCAACCTACCAGCAAGTCAATCAGCCGTTGAAATTCCCACATGGAAACCCCCAAAAAAGTGCCAAGGTGTGGCCGGTCTAGGGATTATGGGTGCGTCTTGCTCCTCAAAGCATCCCCAGAATGGTTTTGGCGTGGTTTTCCTCCAAGCACATTTTTCCAAGTTCGAGGACCATCGTCTCCCACCCCGAAGCCCATCATAGAAAACAGGTTGGTGTACCAAGAGACGGCCCCAGTGGGGAAGACCCACTTGCATGGGAGCTTGGAGTTGCCGCCAAGGCGCGGCCAAGCTGAAGGTGGGCTCTGAGACCAGCGTGATGCCACTGGCCAAGGCGCGGTTTCCACAGACGTGAGAGAGAGAGAGAGAAAAAAGGGAAAGACGTAAATGGAAGGCGAAAGACGGGGTCTCGAGAAGTGGCAAGTGGCTGGAAAAACAGTTTGGAGGGTGTCCATTTTACTTTGCGTGGAGTTCCCTTACCATTCAGAGGGTGAGAGGGTGTTGAGGATTTTACTTCAGTCGCCCCAGAAAGGGGTCAAAGGTGAACTGCGGAAGAAGCAAACACGTGGGAATTGGGTCTGGATTTCCTGAAGGAACAGCGCCAATGAAGCTTTGTCAGCACATCTTCGCTGTTGCAAGTTGTTAACGGTTGTTGTCGCTTGGACATGTTGCTGATGTGACTGAGTGGTAGGCAAGCAGAGCCCATGGTACCCATACTCCCACGTTGCCATGGCACCTGACAGGGGGTTCCTAGAGGAAATGCTATCTTCCGGGAACCTCGCACAGGTGCATTGTGTTCGTGGGAGAGGGCATTTACCACAAGAACAAGCGGTAATGTTTGCACAAGCTTATGTTAGGTATATCATCATCCATACCTCCAAAACCCATGCCTGGGTCCCTACTGAATGCCGGCAACACTTTTCTTGCTCCTGTGCTGCGGTTTGAGGCGATCGCGGCCCGCACCAAGCTGCTGCCCGAGGATGGTGTGCTGCTGGTGGAGACCGGCCTCACAGGCGGGGACCCGTTCAACCTCACTCCCTGAGATCATGGACTTTGGTCACTTTTGGGGAAGACCGAATGTTTGTGGGAGGTTTAAAGTTCATGCGTGTTTCGACCAATCCACTCAAAAGAAGCGCATAACGGGTTCTGATCAACGGGTGCCGATGCCTCAAGGTCTCTCCCTCTCTTTGCTTAGGTCAAGCACGCGGATTCGCGGGAGCAAAACCTATGATCTAGGCCCTGCACTACGTCATATGTCAATTCGTGGAGTTGTTATGATACAAGTTCCGCGCTTCGGGATGTGCAGTCTCAATGTCAGGGGACAAAGACCGGAAGCGCTTGCGGGCGGCCCACCTGGCCAATGCCGTTGCGCGCCAAAGCTGCACTGGTGCCGCACATGGCGCCGGAGTCTCTTTCAGACGTAGACACCATGCCGGATTTCTCTGGTGTATGTTGCCAAGGGATGTTAGGACTTTAACTATTTGATCCAACTTTTGGAGGTTTTCCGTATTAAACCACTAAAAGTGAGTCACTTTTAGCAGGGGAGCAGAAAGCAACCGAGTCTGATGTTTGATGGCGTTTGGGTTACTTATGCTTTCTTGATTGCTATTGGGTTTTATCTTTAGACTAACTTTTGGGAAATCGCGAGTTGTCCATTGAACTCTCAAAAGTTCAAGTTTTTCCACAGGGGCTCAAAACTGCTGGACCTTTCCTGTAGGCCCCCTGTTCCCAACATTGGCGCCGTTTTTGTTTCCCCTTTTCAGGTTCCTACGAAAGATGGTTTCCCACGCCCGAAAGGACCACCTGCATTAGGGATCGCAATGTGTGATGCAATCCTTGAAAATGGTTGTTGCTCTGTGTAAATGATGTCCACTCGGTTCCCAATCAAGTATAATACCCCACATCTCCATGTCCCTTTTTGGAAGCTCCAAACGCGGCAGTTTCAGTGGAAACCACCAGAAAATGTTGAAAGGGAAATCCAGTGACCCCTGTTTGAGTGTTTGAAGGAGAACCCATGGGAACCGACATGTTTTTTCTAAGCGACAAACTTTTCGAGAAATGCAGACGTTCAACGCCGTAGCACACCTGAGGTGGTTTTTGGTATTGGACACTGCCTGCGGTTCACTTTGCTTGAATATCATGTCGTTTCCATAGGTTTTAAAGTCCGTTTGTCTGCAAGTAGATGGGTTCCACTGGTTTCGGTTTACTCCCTTTTGACGGGTACGTCTTTTGCAAGGGACACCTCTGATTCGTCTGGCAGTTGAGGCGGGCCTATGCGTGGCAGGCCACGGGGGAGGTTGCAGTGCCCAGTGTCCAGTCCGACGTGTCAGGGCCTGGTCTGGGAATGATCCAGGAAAGAGAGCCCCAAGTTGCGTTTTGTTTTGTTTGTTTGTTTTGAGCGATATTGTTCTTTCTATGTGGGTGGGCTTTTGTTGAGAGTACCAGTGTGTGTGTGTGTGCAGGTTTTGAATGGAAGCGAATGGGAAAGCACCATTTGGGGGGGGGGTGCTAGAAAAGACATAGCCATGTGGACGGTGCCCAACCTGCGCAAACCGGTGCGGCTATGGAACAAGAAGTTTGCGGGATGTCTCCTCGCGGTCGGCTTCGTGCCTTTGGCTTCGGGTTGCCTTGAATTAAGCTGGTTTCAGGTTAGCTCTAGGCCCCTAGCGGTTTTAAAGCAAGCAAAGTTGGGGGTTCTCTGACACCGTGCCCTTTCGGTGGCAAATGACAAAAAGCGTGCCCGGTTTTTCTCAAAGGCAATAAAGCCTTCCCTTTATTTATGGCGGTCTGCCCTCTTGGTGGTGTGTTTCCCTTTTGTTGCACTGTTTTTGGGTCCAGCCACATATAACAGGAGTGCAAACCCCAAACTTGCTGGTCTCAGCAGAGAAATGGAACAAAAAATCCGGGGGAGGGAAAAAAAAAACGGCAAAAAAAACCAGCCAATCCAACCCAGTTGGTGTCCTTTTCGGGCATTCCCAGCCCAGCTCCCAAAAACCGGTTCCTTCCACCGGGTTTCCCCGAAGACTCGCCAGGTGCGGCCGGTGGACCCCTCGAAGCCGGTGCGCCGCTTCCGCTGCGCCGCGCGGGTGCTGCCGCAGCCCCTTGGCGCCCCAGAGAGCTGAGACCAAAATAGGCAAGTGGGCACGAAGCGACCTGAAAACCAGAAAGAAACACCCGAAGTGAACCTGAGGCTTGGTGCCATAGGGAATGGGAATGACGCTTGTGGGTGGTATGAACCGGCGGCTGGGGATTGATTCTTCTTGGGGTCGTTCCAATTCTGAGTGGGAATACTGTAAACGATTGCCCAGAGGGTCACTGTGGATCGACAGACTCCATTTCGCGTGGAGGAAACCTGCTTCGAAGACTGGTGGACAAACCACCCACTTCCCACCTGTGGTTTCGGGGTTAAGCTTCAGTGTCTTTTTTGCCAAGGCCATCGAAGGTTGAGGGAAATTTGGGTTTGTGTCAACATAGCGGAACCCTAGAAATAGTTTAAGACCTGCCTGGGTGCTCAGCCAAGGAAGTTGTTAGCACCCTGGGGTTGCTCACGTGTAAGCTCCCCTACTTGGCGCTCAACTCTGTTGGCGCGTTTAGCCCAAGCCAACCACTTGCTGACTATCAGGAAAGGAACACCCACCCATTTTGGGGCCTAACCGTTAAAAAAGAACATACTCGAACATGAGTGTTGCCACGTTGTTTTGGTGTCTTGGCGGCTTGGACTCTGGGAGGTGTTGGAGGTTTTGCGCACGGACGGTTGCGCCCAGTGGGCTTGGTAAGTCATGCACCCAGAGTAGAAAACCCAGGGTACTTCTGACATAGTTGCAGCTTCCAGTTGCCCAGCGCCCTTTGTTCCTTTTGTTGTTATTTTCCTTTTTTGGGGGGGGGGAAGGCTTCCCCTTGAAGCTCAACCAACCCAAAAAGGATGCCAACTCTGCCTGGTGCTTGGAGCAGAGAAGGTTTGCCCTTTGGTCATGGTGGCCACAGGGCCAAGGCAACAAACTGAAAAGTCACCCATGGCTGCCTATGATTGTTGGAGACTGCCCCACATGATCTACGTATATTAGTAAGTAGCCCCATTGCCAAAACATGAAACTCCGCTCATGAAAGCCCATTCGAGTTCGAGATCGAATTCTCAGCTCTATTCGCCTTGGGCCAGATGACAGTGTTCACCTCGAGTTCTTACAGTGGCTGCAGCAAATTGGCTACCTCTTGTGGGTGAAAGGTAGGTAAGCCCAAAGGAAACCACCTTTTTTTGAAGTTCCCCTTTAAGGCAACCCAAAAAATGGCCAAGGTTCCTTTTGGGGCTGACCAGAGCATCTTTCTGACGACTCTGTTCCAATGCTTAGGGCCGGGTCCACACCACCGTTGCTGCAGCTGGCGATTCTGCCACAGGGCCTGCCCCAAGCCTTTGGCGAGTAAAAAGACGAAGTCCGTGGGTTCAATCAGAAGTGGGCTGAAACCGGCGACAGCCAAGTGGAGAAGCAGCAAAAGCTGCTAAGGCCTTGGTTGTGATCTTTTTCTCCCCTAGACTAAAGCAGCGTAACGATGCGATGCGGAAGAACAAGAGAGACGGGGCGACGGCACGAGCAAGCATAAACAAGAGCAGGAGACGTTGCACTACAAGCATCAACAGCAACAGAACCGTCATTACATCAGCAAGTTGCTTGCAAAGAGCAACAGCAGCAGCAGCCCGACATCCAGGGCAGTCACAAGCAGTATGTAGCAACAGCATTGCTGCAGCTTGTGGCTCCAGCAAGCCAGCACAAGGGAAGAAAGATCTGCACGAAAGATCCGCTGACCTTTCCATTGAGCATGATGTGAACAATATTTCAAGAGACAAGTTGTGCCACAAATTCTTCCAGCACGCTTTTGTGCAATTGTGTGTCTGTGTCGCTAGCAAACCAGAAGGTAAAAAAAACTGCTGCATGTTGGGCAAAAGAATCCCCATTGCATCACTTCAACTTCACCTCGCCAAAATTCGTTCGAAGTGACCGCGACTGCCGAGATGGGCCTTGACCTCAGCTTCGTCCCGGGTCCTTCGGCATCAGAGTCTGGAGGCAGAAAAAGCACGTGAAGCGGCTGCCTCAAAGGAAGTTTGGATCTCCCATGGATCTCAGAGAAAGATGGATCTCCCAGGACCACATGAAGTTTGGAGCTATTGTTAAAAAGGCCTCCATTTGGGCTCATGGAGGGTGTCACCTTCGATGCATCGATCGATCGGGAGAGCCAGCGAGGTGCCATCCTTTCATCCGCTGCGAATGCCGTGTGCTGCGGCCAAAGAGATAGAAGCGGGACAGCACCGGCTTGCTTTGCCCACAGCTGATGTCGTGTTTGTCACTCAACTGTTGGCTGGCGAAGGCAAGCCCGGAGCAAAAGCTTACCAGGCAGACTTCATCCATCACCTAAGCTTCACTGTTCTTGGCAAGTTTTTTGGTTAGTTCGTTGTTTGGTTCTGTTCAGTTGTAGTAGGGGGCTGCAAAAAACAGTCTGTCTTTTGCAACCATACCAAGGGTTGTGAAGTAAGGATGGTGCGTGTTGTCAGATCTCACCGCACCAGTTCAGGCAGGACCCATTCCTTCTGGCTGCTCCCATGGCAGCGCCAGCGTTGCGGCTGGCCAAGAGTGGCTGGAGAACGGATGGCACCAACTGGGTTGCATGAAACCCTCTGAAAAATGGTTGATAAAACACATGCCTGGTGGCAAAATGGGTTTGTATCCCTCAGCAACGTGCCATGTTGCAAACCAGATTGCTTCTGACCGCTCCGAGCAAGCCGCGTGCCAGAACCCACGGTCCATGTTGAGACCAAGGCCCCTTGAAGGTGACGATGGAGCTCATGGAATAGGCCGTTGATCATGTGGCTGTGGCTCAACATGAAACCATGGGACCACAGGTCTAATCCATATTTACCAAGGTTCCCATTTTGGGGGATTCCTATGTTTGACCACTGCCATGTACTGTTGTGAACCGGATCTGCCAATGTCTTGGAAAGCTGACCTGGGGTAAGATGATCTCAGACGATGAAGGTTCATTTCATGCTGAGGCCCCCTGATTGTGGTGTTAGATTCGTTCCATGATTCTGAACGCGACGGGATGACGCGGGTCCCCACTCACCCAACTCCCACTGCTGCTCAGCACAGCCCCATATCAGTGGCGACACCGTGGATATTGACCTTGCTGAAGCGTCTCAACAATCATATGGTCAGACCTCCCAACCCCAACCTAGTTTTTGTACCAAGAGGCTACTGGGCACAGGAGTCGATTTTTTTCCTGCAACAAGTCGCGCAGTGTTTCTACCGGCCTACCACGGTAGAATCCAAGATGTGCTGATGTGCCGTTGCAATTCAAAGATCAATTGCACCTGTTCTGCCCGAGTCCTGCTGAAAAACTCAGTGAGGTCTGACAACTGCCAAGACGGCCAAGCTGACCAGGCCAGAAAGGACTCTTGTGAGCTCAGTCAGATCATGTGTGACATGCTCAAGATGCCGTACTCGGAGTTGGCCATGAAACCTTTGTGGGGGCTTTAGACACCCGTTCCTGTTAAGAGCAGCATGGTGCGAGCAAGATTCTATGGTCCTGTTTAAGCCGGGCCAGTCCTACTTTTGCTGCGCCTTTGAGCAGGAGCACACTCGCGCGAAGACTGATCCGTCCGTCGCCGCAATCGCTAGTGGCAAGACACACGGACATCACTGAATGGTACAAGGACGGAGTGAGGCAATATCAGCAGGCATGAAGACTGCAAAAGTCTAAATCCAGCCATCTCACGCAAAACCACAAGAAGTGACTTTATGGGTCAAGCTACAGTTCCTCGAGGTTGAACAAGTGTGGCATCCCAAACGATCTGCATCACGCAACTGGCTCATTGCCATGTGGCGCAGGGCTGTTCGATCTTGCCATGCCCAGCTGCGATGCTTTTCCTACGAGAGCGCTGCCTTGCAGCATGGAGCCGGATTGGTGGTAGTTATGCTTATGCATTGAGACGAGGAACGGTTAAAATTATGGATATGGATCAAAATTAAACCACCAGGGGACCGCATATTTTAGTCCATGCTTCCATTTACCAAGGTTCCATTTTGAGCACCTATTTTTGACCCGCAGCCTTATTGGTAGTAGTCCATGGTTCATTGGGGAGGGTCATGGGGGATTCACTAAGTTCCCCAGAAACACCAAGGGGACTTACGGAAGCTCGCACGTCCTCTTGAGAGCAAATAAGTTTCCTTAACTCGCTTGGAGAACGGCCGGGAATTCTGATTTGTTGGGTAAGCTTGCGACAAGCAAGCGCATGGATGCAAAGCAAAAGATGGAGCCAAGTGCCTAGCTCCAACATAGCTCCAACACATGTTACTGGCACGGTGTTGAAGAAGCAAGTCCTCATCTGGCACAGTACAAAGTGTGACCTAGGCTTTTCAATGGTCAAGGGCCAGTGTCGAGCAAATCGACGAAATCAGTGGCCACGGACAAACTGCAACCGGTGTCCCATGCGTACACATGTTTGTGATTGCTCATGGGTTGTTCTGTGTCGCAGGAGTTCCGGTGTTCTCTAAAGCTGTCCAAGTTCACCTTCTCTCACTCAGGAGATGCACAGAACTCAGCCGGCATTGCTGCGGGGAAGCTTGCCAGTGCACCCAGGCATGGGCAAATGGCCTGTGCTTGACAATCGAGCTTTTGTCACTTTTTGTCGACCGCTTCCGAGGCTGATCAAAAACAAGACAAAAGAGGCATATGGACCTGTGCAATCACAACCGCATGTTTTCTTACTTGCAAGGACAATGGCAAGTCTACAAATGTATCGTTGGCAGGTGTACCGCCTTAAACGTGTCACCAAAAACACCGATACGGACGTGTGCCATAGCAATTTGGACATTTCAATGGTGGTTGCTGCTTTTCCATTCCCTTCAAAGCCCCAAAACGGGTGCCAGGCCTCAAAACACACACACCACACGTCAGTCCCCTCCGAAATTCCAATGTCCGCGGGAGCGCACGCCAGCTCCCCATCATCCCCACGGGCCGCTGTCCTTGCGCTTCGAGGCACGCGGAAAGAAATACACCCGAAAGCTGAGCCAAAGACTCCTTCAACCTGCGACACATGCCATGCTTTCTTAAGAGATGTTCCCTTTTTGTGCGGTAGCACAATTTTGATCTAGCCAAAGGAACAGCAGCAAGTTGGAGACAGGTGTGGCATCTGCACCGGGCTGATCGTGTCTTGGAGGCAATGTGGGTCAACAGCTGACTCGCGAGGTGTCGAGAGCCTCAACTGCCCGGGATGATTTGACTTTTGCCGCGAGCTCAGTGCCTGACACCATATGCGATGGTGGAGGTGTAGTGTGCAGAAGCGTGAACGGCTTGCTACTTGTGGAGCTGAAGGGTCCGGCACTGCAATTGGCTTCTCGCTTTGCTTGGTCTGTTCTTTTACTTGAGCGTGGGTCTGCTGACATCTCTGCTCCCCTGCTGTTGATTTTTTGGAGTAACCAGCAGAGAGCACATTTGTAGGTCACCGGGAACTGGCTGATTCTCAGGTTTTGGATATTATCTTGTGCTCAGGTGTATGCAAGGCAAAGCCCAATATTTTGAGGCAATCATTTGGGGATGGTCCTTTTCAGAAGAATTACCCTCATCCAGGCGCTAGCTGCTGATCCTGAATGAATCAGCGGCACATGCGTATATGTTTGATAGTGAGGGTGCCCCTCTTTGGGTGATTTCAAGGACCAAAAGGAAACCACCCATGTGAGGTGTCCAGTTCAAGACCTGCCAAATGGATGGGTGCTCTGTCAGTGGCAGTCTTTGTTGGTGCTTTGTCAGTGGCGGTCTATCCACTGACCGCACGAGGTTGTGCAATCACAACTGCAGCCTGCGAAGCAAATCGGTGGAAGACACCCTTGATCGCCTGGTTGATAGATGTTGACAGGGAGACCAATGTTGGTTCTGATTGTGTTGTCTTGGCAGTTTAAGATGGGTCAACAGACAGGGATGCAGCCTGAGGGTGGAAGCGATCATGTGCTTTGTGTCAGACAAAGAAGAAGGACAAGCATCTCTGGCAGCTGACTGACTGAATCACCTCATTTCACTAATAACCGTTTCATCGCCCTATCGCTACACTGGCGGGCAGTCACCTATAATATTATTCCGTTTGGTATCACATATCTATGGGTGACCCATGGTGCCTGCCGATTGAGCTTACCATGCACAGTAGATCCTTTGCTTGGGAATCCCAAATTTCAGATTTTGAAATTATTGTAACAAGCAAGCAGATACTTGGATGCTCGGCCCAGTCTGCAAGCTGCGAAAACCAAACGACTGGGGGACATAGGTCATACATAGACTATGCTGCCAACAATGGCAGAACACGCAAGACGTGCAATAAGCCGGAAGAACCCAAGAAAGACCTGCATTTCCCAGTAGAAATTTCACACATGAAATCTTGGGCTTTGGTTCCGTGTCCGGGAAATCATTCTGGACGACTGTTTTGCATCATTTCTTGAATGTCCAGCTGCCTCAATATGTATGTATGTATGGTGCAGCGTCCCCAACATCCCCGGTCCTGGTCCTGTGGTTGTGTTGTGGTGCAGTAAATATATATATATATATACATTGATTTATTTATTTATTGTTTATTTATTTATGTACATATCAGAATGGAAGTCATCCCCCTGGAAATCGTGGGCTCTGTATCGGACTTCGCGCAGATTTGGAGCCACGGGCTCACCAGCTCGGTGGCCAGCGAAAGCGAAGGCGCGCGGCTTCTTTCCTTCGGCGCTTTCGACGTTTTGGGGATGCGACGGGCGGTGATCAACCTGTCTCCATAACCCTTTAAGAATCGTAAAAATGGGGGCATTGCTGTAAATAATGGGGTCATGGACCTATTTTTGAAGGGTCATGGAGACTCCAGGAATATTCCCTTTGCCCCCGGGTCATGACCATGGGTCACTTTTCCCACGTCAAAAGTGGTGAAAGTCATCTTTGGGAAGTTTAATATACCATGGGCCGCTTTTTTCCCATTGAGTGGGAAAAGTCGTCTTTTTCGTGGTTTGTCGATCAACCCCTGTATGTTCTAAGCTCTGGTGCCTTGTACGGAATTCCTGGTTTCCGGAGTAGCAATCTGCCCACAATGTAACGGTCGTTTATGGTCCCTACGTTGACCAAAATGACCGCCCCTGTTCGAAAGCAAAATCTTGGAAAGTTGGTTATATGTAGGGGAATCCCTTCAAGGGGTCTTGTAAACCGGGAATATTAACTTACCAAATTATTTGCCTATGTCACACAGGGCCTCCCTCATGGCGGGGCACTGGGCAACTTGTTTGTTGTCAATGATGTTGTGAAACAGCTTCGACAATATAGGGAGCCCTGTCCGTCTTCGAGCTGTTGCATCAAACTTACGACATCACACACTCCACGGGATGAGTTCAAATCAAAACAGTCCCCACATCTCCCTTGTGTTTCCTAAAAGAACCCCGCTCCGCCGCTCCGTCGCTTGTTCAGTCGCCCCCGTTTGCAACACGCGCGGCCTTTCGTTGCAACTCCTCTAGCCTTTCCTTGCTGCTCAGCAGAGAATGAGAAGCGGAACGGCCAGAAGCAAAACCATTCAACTGGGTTCCTTTATCCCAACATGGCGCAGCGCTTCGATCGCAAGAATGCCACAGTGGAAAAACAAAAAATAACCTTCACCGCTTCCTTCCACGTCCCCTTCCCCACCGATTCGCCAGGTGGCTGGCCCTTCGGCGGCGTGGCGGAGCTCTCGGACCTCCTGCCGGTGCTGCGCTTCGACGCCCGCGGCCACGGCCACTCCGACGCCAACGAGAACTGCACCTGGCAGGCGCTCCGCTCGTCTGGCGACGCTTCTCGGGCGACGTCCGCTTGTTCGTTGGCGCCGCTTCTCGGGCGACGTCCGCTTCTTCGTTTGGCGCCGCTTTTCGAGGACTTTTGATTTTTTTGAGGTTGCGCAGACGTGTTTGTCTCTTCGTTCGTTCCTTCCTGGCGTTTAAAACCAAGCGGTTTGGGCAGGTGCAATTCGTTGCACGTATTTTGTGCTTGTTTGTTTGTTTGTGTGGGTTAGCACTTGCGCGTTTGTGCTTCTAGGGAAGCAACTTCAGATAGATAAGTAGATAGATGGAGCGCAGAAACAAGTGGATGGGTAGAGAAATAGGTAGATGGATAAATAGAGTGAATCAGTGGACATAAATAGATAGATACACGTCTGGAAAGTGGATAGAAAAATGGAAAGATACAGAGATACTATTAGATGGATATATAAAGTTAGATTGATAGAGAGCTGTATGGTTAGATAGGCAGGTAGATAGATCGATAGATAGAGAGAGATGAAATAGATCGATCGATAGATAGATTGAGTGATTAGACATACCTGCAACTCCCGCTGAAAAGTCGCAAGTTTCAAGTACACAACCTGCAAAGCGCGCTTGGGAAGTGCACCTGGGAAGTGCACTTCGCAACCTGGCAAGCGCACCTGGGAAGTGCACCTAGGCTGCTCGGAAATGGAGCTGGGAAGTGCGCCCAGGAGGTGCTTGGTGCACCTAGGAAATGCACCTGGGAAGTGCACCTGGCAAGCGCACCTGACAAGTGCGCCCAGGAAATGCACCTGGGAAGCGCGCCTGAAAAGCGTGGGAAAGAGCAGCTGGGAGATGAGCCGGCTGGGAACACCTGGGAAATGCACCTGCGAGGCTGGCAAGCCGGAGACACCTGGGAAGTGCATCTGGAAAGCGCGCCTGAAAATGCAGGAGTGAGCACCTAGCAAATGCAGCACCTGGGAATGCACCTGGTGGGAAATGCACCTGGGACCTAGGAACACGTGGGAGCGCGTGCGCGAAGTGCACCTGTCAAATGCACCTGGGAAGCGCTGCGCCTGGGAAGTGCACCTGGCAGCTAGGAAAGTGCACTCCCGAAGCGCGTGCAAAGTCGCTCAAGTCACGTACAAAAGTAGTGCGCGAAGTGCACTTCCGCAGCCGCGTTCGCTTTCAGAGCTCCGGCTGCCAAGGTGCAACTTTTGAGCGCAGCAGTAGTACGCAAAGCGCGCTCTCGCAGCTCCAGCTCGAAAAAAAACAACTGTTAAGCGCGAAGGTAATGTTCGGAAAGTGCATGTTTGCATCTCCAGCTCGAAAACGCAAATTTAACGTGGAAAAGCAACAAGCGAGTTACACTTCCGTATCTCCAGCCCGAAAATTGTAAAACCGCCAGCCTTCTTGCGCAGCCAAGCTGCACCCAGATCTGGACAAACTGAGAAAGCGACATGAAAGGTTCGGCAAGACAGGTTGCAGAGCATCACACGCAAGAGGGAGCATCATGCACAGCATCGCAGGCATCGTCACGCGCAGCATCACGTGCAACATCACGCGCAACATCTCGCATAGCTTCACGGGCGCGTCAATCCACGTGTGAAGCATGATGCTAAGCTCGCTCATCAGGACCTGCAAAAGCTTTTCTCCAGCAGAGACGTTGACGTGTTCACGTTTTGTTGCTCATCAGGCGGGGGAGTTGTCAGAGTTTGTTAAATGTGAGTCTATGCTTCCGGGCCACGCTCACAACTATTTGGGGCCTCTTGCCGGGATAATTGTTTGGGATTTGTTGTTTCTCTCCATTCTGGCGTTGGACTCGCCAATTGGTTTTGGGAGGCCATGGGCTCTGATTTGTGCAGCATGCACGAGAAGATGATGCCCGCCAGCCGCCTGGTCTTGGGAGGCCGGGCAAAAAAAAACGTTTCAAGCTTGCAAGGCAGCTGGAGCCCATTTCTGAGATCCCATGGGTCCGTCATCCAACCAATGAAGTGATTTCTTATAGTGCTGCGTTTGTGGTTCCCGAACACCATGCAAAAAGGAAAGCCGTGATGTTTTGGGACACCCAACTGCGCGCAAGGGGAAATATAGACTCGGAACTCGGGAGTGTATGTAAGGCAAAATGGTGCGTTGCTGGGCGCCGCTGGTGTTGTGTGGCAGCGGTGTTTTCCTTTCTTCTGGCGAAGAAAAAAAAATCACACCAAAGCTGCCGAGCCCCAAGCCAGGGATTGCAAAGGCATGGCATTTCGTAGGTTCGGCGTGACAGGCTCTGGGAAGAGTTTTCAGGAGATACAAAATCGCCAGCTGACCCAGACATCGTTTCATCTCAAAAAGGGTAACCAGCTGCTGTCCGTTTCCTTAAACAGCAAAGTAGAGTGTGGAGTAGGAGATGCTTGCTTGCCAGCCGTATCCTCGTCGAAAAGATGGAATAAACAGAAGCGCTTAGACAATGCCAGTAGCTAGACAGCGCATGATCTGTCCACCTGGTGAGAGTTGAACTGTTGACATCCTGATCTTTAGAGGACCCTTCAGCAAATTTAATTTGGCCAGGAAACGAAGCGACAAGTTCGGAATCACTTTGGACCCCATAAATGTTGCCTTCGTGATTAGCGCGATCGGTGTTTATATTCGGAAGGCAACAATTGAGATATTAGTGGACCGGAAGAATGCTCAGTTTTTTTGATCAACCAAAATCAGATGCCCTCTTTTTGAGATGCCGCCCATGGCACTGGTGCCCGGCGACTTGTTATCCAAAGGAGTGCCCGCCATTCGACTGGCGCTTCTGCAACGCCGTATCATCAGCTGTTCAAGGGTTTCATGCTACTCCTTGGCAGCCTTACCACTTGGCAGGATTTGGGTACAGTCAAGCAAGCACCCTCTCCCAAAGGGACTGTTTAAGCAGTTTTGAGACTCATTCAGCGAGAGTGCTTGGTCGCTTCAGGGGTCTCGATGTCAGCTGCAGGTGTTTTTTTTCCTTTTTTTCTTTTTTAATCCAGGTTGGGGACCGACAAGTGGCATGCGCGTCACAGAACAACACGAGCATAGTCCCTTGTTTCGCCTTTCGGTCCCCAAGAGGCACCTCCATGGGTGCCGCGGCCAGCCTCTATGCCGCCTTGCAGGCGGAGACCCCAAAATAAGCTCAGGTGATATCCCCAGCATGCGGTGCTCTTTTTAGTCGCACCACCCCGCCCTCGCAGAACCTCGTGGAAACCTCGTGGAACCCTCGTGGAACCCTGGTGGAACCCTTACCTCAGGGCCGCCCCGGACCACCCCGGAGCCTATCTGGGCACGGAGGAACGTGGCTGGCAGACGGGGCACAAATCCTCCCATTGGTTCGCCTTTGCAAACCTTTTCAGGGGCTCCCACCAAAGAAGCGGACGGGACCTGCAAAAGAACATGGCCTGCTTTGAAGCTTTTTTTCAGCTTCTATGCAAATAAGCAGGGTGGATGAATTGCTGAATTGATGAGTTGATTGTTGAACCGGTGAGCTCAAGCAATCGATTTATTGGTCTGCTTTATTAATTGACTGATACGGCGGACTTGCGTACAATGAACATTCCTACTTGCCCAGCAAGAGGAAAAGCATCCCCATGTTGCAATATGCGAAGCATTCGCTGAGTGTTTCTTGCACAGACAAGGCTAAGCATTTGAGTTGGCGAGCTGCGCTGACTTGCACAACAGGCACAACTGAGCATAAAACAAAAGCCCACAGAGAAATCAACCACAAGACCTTTCGCCCCCACAACCCCCAGTGTGGCCATTTTGGCGATTCCACTGGGTTTCACAAAGGTCAGAAAGGCCTATGGACCTTTGTGACCACGGAGACCCCTTGCCGATCTGCGGAAGCCTCTCTCTGACTCGCCCGCAGGCGCCCGAAAAGGTTGCCGCCTTGATCTTGGCCACTCCGCCCACGTGCTACGAGACACGTGCGGCTCCCAGTCTTTCGAGATGTCACCAGTTGGTTGGAAAGCGATCAGGAAATTCTGAGAAGGTTCGGTCAAATTGGGTGCTGGTCCGAATCATCGGTTCATCAGTCAATATATATATATATATATATATGTGCTTCTCATCACAACCTCATTCCTTCTCATCGTGTCCCGGACTCACAGTCCCGTCGCAGGTCCCCACCCCCTAAGTCTAGCTCGGGCAGTGCGAAGCTTTTGCGGCCACCATGATACCTCATGCAACCTCACTTCATAGTTCCACTGTCCATGTCCAACTGTAACTGTGCTAGGTGCTGCTTGCCTAAACCACCAAAAGTCCTCGGACTTTTTGGGTGGGATTGGATAGGCCGGAAGTTCGTGCCGCTCTACGAGGAGAGTTTGCAGCTCGCTGAGTCCCGGGGACTGGCGGTGGCCAAGTCCGCCGCAGAAACCAAGGCGTGCGGGCCGGGGTGGGCTGGGGTGGTGTGAGGTGAGGTGGAAGCACATGAAGACGCCACGGTTTGGGTCGAACATCGGAGGATTTTGCATGGGGTCTCGAGTATGCAGTGAAGGTTGACTTGCGGAAATTTGACTCAGGCAATCTTATTTTAGTGTACGCCAGAGTTTTCTTGCTGGTTAGTAAGGGGTTAAGGGTTGCTGCAGACCTCGCTAATTCTCGGGTATGGGGAATGGGTATTCCAGGAAAGGAACCCACAAGGAATGACTTAGAGGCTAGGAGTCATTGGGAGTCACTCCCTCGTTGCCTACTCAGAACCAGCAAGATTTGTGCGGGTCGTTGAGTATGTGGACTACAACTACCTCTATTTGGGGGCTTGTTCTTCTGCCAGCACTTTGGCAAGGCTCGTCCACCAATTTTCCTGGAGACGGCGTCCGGTCAAGCACCTTGGCTGTCAGACTTCGAGGATTGGACACATGACCAAAATCGGAGTGTGTCAACATTCAATGATTGTAAGCTTGATTCTGTTCTGAAACCCTTTGATCTCTTTATGAGGTGTGGTTTATTCTTGGGTTCCCTTGACTGTTGGGTTCCCTTGTCTTCCACATGCTTACGAATACTTCTCAACTTTTGGTTTTGAAGGGAAGCGATATCTCAATCTTGGCGAAATGTTCTCATTGTGAGTCTCGTTTCCCTCCATCCACCTGCCTCCACCCCTCTGGCTTGATTGCTATTGGCTTGGATCTTTAGACTTCAACCTGTTGGTTGAAATCAAAAGGTTTGCCTTTTCCATGAATCCGCCAAAAGTGAAAGACACGGAGTCTGCGAAAAGTCAACAGCCACCTCCAAAGTCTAAAGTCTGAGGGCCTTTTTTTCCAATCCGCACATCAAAGGGTCCTTTTTTGCACGACTCCGCCCAAAAGTTAGCGGTGTTTGCTTTTTGTGGACTCCGCAAAGAGAGAAGAACTTTTTCCCAATCCATCAAAGGGTTTTTTCCACGACTCCACCCCAAAAGTTGTTCGGCGTTTGCTTTTTCACTCCGCAAAAAGTGAAGAAAACTTGCAGAGTCCTCGCCGCCAGCGGCAGAGTTGAGGCCTCCTTCGAGATCGGCTGGCGCCAGAAGTTCGCCATGGGCCAGCGCCGCTACTGCGCCGCCCTCCGCGGCGCCATCGACTCGGATCTGCCCAGCGCCGAGCAACTCGCGCGCCGGGGCCCCAGGGACCCCGGATCGATCAGCCGGAAAGAGCTTGGAACCAGCCAAAAAACCCACTGGTTTGGGGCAAACCGCACGAAAACCACGGAAAACTTGGGGATTCCTTGGTGTTGGAGTTGCGGAAAAGCAACTGGCTGATACCTTGGAGGACAAATCTGCTTGAGGGGACAAAGGGCGGCTGGCCAGAAAAGTACAGAATTGGTGGCTCCCTGAAAGACTGTGGATGGACACAAACGTTGGGATTGTGTCCCATTAGTTAATATCCCAACTGGTGCAGGAGTTGTCCATCCACAGAATCCCTGAACTCAGGTGTTAGTGGTTGGCTAGGGGAAGCTGTTGCAAGATCACACACACACACAGGGGAAGGTGCGTGTCTACAGCATGAATTGCTGATTGTGAGGACTGGACATTCCTGTCTTGATCCTGGCTTGGAAATCTGACGCGCAGCATCCACTGGAAAGCGCTCAGTTGCTTCACGCCGCTTGATTGCAAGTTCGAACACTCAGAGCTGTACTGCGGGATGACACTTCTTGCGGGGTGGTCATGGGTATAGGGTGTCCGAATCCTATCCCCGATATGTGGGACCAACATGCAATGACACTGGACTCAATCATCCCTAGGTTGATCCCCTCGCATTCATGAGGGGTACCGTCCTTAGCTTGAGTTGGTTCCGCCATTTCCACGGAGAGTGGGCACTCGCGATTGCGCTTGCCGCTTCTTGCCTTTCCTAATTCTGCGATGTAGTCATACTCTAAGAGTTCGTCTTGTGATACTTCCACTGGTCCTGCAGCAAAAGAATGCCCCTCCCAATATGCTATTTGCTGAGCTCCTGAGGGGTTTATATTCCAGAAGCTGCTGTCAGCTTCTTTCGGTATCATTCCGGGATTCATAGCTCAGACGCCCTGTGTTCTGAAAGGCAGGGGGCATCTTGAAACAGAATATGCCTGGATTTGTCCGCAGAATTGTTCATTTCGCCTGCTATTGCCAAGTCCCACGACCCTAAATTCATTGGTGTGCAATTCAATGCAGACGGTGGTCGGCCTGTTTCCTGCCGACCCTCTCTCTCTCTCTCTCTCGTTTGTTGTTTTATTTCTCTTGATATTTATGGTTCGTTGTTGCTTTGTCTTCCTCTTTCTCTTTATCTTTCTTTCTCTATCGCTCTCTCTATCTCTCCATTGCGTCCTCCGGTGCGCAGGACATTCTGCCTCAAGCTCAACTCTCGGTGGCAGAATCTTGGGAAGAGATCGAAGAATTCCCAGCAAGGATGCGGGAGTTTCTCTCACATCTTGCATAGAGAAAAAGAAACGCGTGTCGCTCCTGCAGCTAGACTGCCACGTCTTATCGGTAAACTGCGAAATGCGGGGGTTTTTGGACCTTGCAAATGCCTATTTCGACACATGCCCACATCGATCTGTCCAATCGGACATGCAGGCTACATGATGATGGTCATCAAGCACTGGCAGATATGGTGATTGCCAGCCGAGGAAAAGCAACGGAGCAACTCCTGAGGGCACTCATGCATCAGAGCTTCTCTTGTTTGCTTCATAAAGGTACTTAAAGTTAAAGGATCTTGTGGAGGATAAGTCGATATGCGGGTGGAGGTTCCGGAGATAGGAATGGGGATACTACCAAAGAGAATAGAATACGTGTTGGATACCTAAGGGGTGGGTTCAAATGGCCATGGTCGTCTGCCCAAAAACCAGTTAGTTTCCAGCCAGCGGAGCCAAGCGTCCATGACGAGCACATTGGTGTAGGTGTGGGCGTAGCTTTGTTTGTGTGTACGGACGGGTATG